GTTACCAAATTCTTGGACAGTTAATAACTCAGTATGTTTATGAGCTCCTTGAAAAAGTTTGCAGTCTGCAGAAGATTTACATCCCAACATGTATGGCCGACAGCAAAATGTGTAGTTTCTTTTTCATGAGTGAAAATGCATTGACAAATAGTTCAACTTTACTTGTCCTCCTTCAAGATCAAGGGACATTTCGTGCAGGCCAATGGGCACAAAAGTCAATAATACATGAAGGCCTTCAACAGGGATCTCAGATACCTTTCATTACAATGGCTCTACAGTACTCTTGGGGAGTGATAGTTTTAAACCCTAATGACAATTTTTTAGATCTGAAAATAGAACCAGAATGTTTAAGCCTTGTGGAGAATGATGCTATGTGGCCTCTAAATTTCTCATGCGCAGTCCCAAAGAGAAACAGCAGGAACCCTGAAGAACATACAACCTATGTTTGGGATCACTTCATTTCAAAGATGACTTCTAGAAATGTGGCCTTTGTTGCCCATGGCTATGGGGGATTAATTTTTATCAACTTACTCATGCAAAGAACTTTGGAAGTGATGAACAAAGTGTGTGCCGTTGCACTTATTGACTCTAAACATCACATGAAACATCAGACACAAGGCAATTCCGAGGTACAAACATGGATATGGAAGCACTGTCAAGAGTGGGTATCAAATAGTAAGCCTATAGATAAGTCAGTAGACTACCTTATGAAAAAGGATTGTCCTATAGTCTCCACCGGATCTGAAAAGTACAATATGGCTCCATCCTCTAGCCTGCAGTCGATCTTCAAGTATCTAAAGAATGCATTGAAAGCTAGTACTAAAAACAATTTCAGCCGATCACCTATTGTAACAAGGAGCAAAAATGCCATGAAAAAAAATTAAGTTTATATGTTTTTCATAGTTTCTTCTGTCAGATAAAAAATGTATTCGATGCAAATGCCTAGGCACACTCTTAACATAAACTTTTTTATTTAATATATTATTTCTTTTCTTTCCCTTTGGCTGAAGCTGATATTATGTAATATAAGGTGCCATTTTGAATTCCATAGTCAGGCTTTATTTTAGTTGTTGAAAGGATAGTTTGTACGAATTTGTAATTTAGTGACAGTTTTTTCTTTCAATGTCTTACAAATAAATTTTTAAAAATATCGTTTAATCTGAAGCATCAGTAAAACAATGAAAATAGAAATAGGATAAACATCAGAAATAGGTTTAAAATCTTGTTTGAAATATTAGTCAACTATTTGTACTTCAAATTAGCATAATTCTAAATGTTTTAAACTTTAAGAGTATATGTATAGTATATATTCAAATCAGCATAGAAATGTTGAACATTTTACAAAAATTACTGCTTAAAATTATATTTATTTGACAGTATCACATCAAATTAGATTGATCTTACTAACTGTTAATATTAATACTTTTTTAAAAGTTACTTTTAAAAATCTCTTTTCTCTAGATTATTATCTCCATTTTCAGTTCCATTTTACTTGAATAATGTTGTTTTGGTTCATGTTGGATTTAAATTACAATTTCAGTCATGAACCAGCATTAAAATAAAGTAGCGACTTAAAATGCACATAAATTTTATATAAAAATTTCAACTTTCTGAAAAGAATGAAAATACGGGTTGGAAAGATGGGCCCTCAAGGCATTTTTGCAGGATTGTAAAAAATGTAGATTGAATACCTACAGAAAATGCATTCTACAACCTAGAGATGACAGAATAGACTGAATCCCAAAACAATCACCAGGTGGCTGATATATTGAAAAATGGACTGTCTGGCAATCTTATAAGTGAGAATCATGCATATACTCAGTCAACTTGAGTCGAGATGATTTAGGGTTACTGATAATAATCAGCATGTTATATGTCCTCTAGGAACTGGCAGACAGTGCAGCCAATTCCCAGAGGGACAGACAAAATGCTACCTTCCAAATAGTCTTTGAACAATCTTCTGCTGCATTTTGAACATGAAGAAGTTTCTAAGCTAGTTACTATAAAGCAATCCGATAACCTGAGAAAACATGTAGGAGGGTTCTCAAACTATTACTTTTTTCTGAACTACAGCCCTGTCCTCTAGAATCTAGATCACGAGTGTCAAACTCATTGCATCAAGTTGCCATTATGTGATGTTTCACGATGGTTTTCCCATTCACAGAGCTGGGGTGGGCATGGCCTGCACATGATGCATCCAAATCAAAGGCGACCAGTTGGACAGCCCTGATCTAGATCACGATCCTTCAAAATAAACACCTCTGCTTTGTCTGATTTTAATTTCATTTTATTATCCTGCATCAAGCTTACAGTATTATCCCTGTGGACATACATTTCAAAAAATATTGCCCTTTCTCGTGACTGAAATAGAGAAAAAGATTTGGGTATCACCAACCCGTCTTTAATGCCTAGCACCAAACTTTAGACTAACACAGTCTATTAGTCTTACAGAAATGACTGATAAATCATCTATTAGACTGTCTGTTTTCAAGTTAGTTTGAAATATATCTAGATAATCTTTCTTGAAGCTGATTAGTCACAACCTCTTTATACCTTTTCCCAAATACAGGAGGCTAACCTACAATTTAAGAGAGATAGTAAGATTTAGTAAGATCTAAAGTAACATCATTCTGTCCTTTCTCAATGGAGTATTATGTCAGCTAGGCAAGAATACAAATATACAGTGAACTGTACCATTCCAAGTAGCTTTCCTATATTCCCCAAAATTACAAATTTATCTAATATTAATCTTACAAATTACTAACAACACATTACTGTAACTGACTCAAGAATTTGAGTTTTCTCAGCTGCAAAGATTTTTTGCAAAGATCCCATTAAAAATATCACAGTAAGTCATAGCTGCTTACAGAAAATTTGAAACTGTTTTAACTAACTACCTGGGAAAATTTTGTTGGATAGAAGCTGGTTGTGCCATATGCACAGAATAAAATGCATATTTGTTGTACATATAGTTGCAGCATAGTACCCGATTGTTGTGCCTTAGTAGTTTGATTAATCTTTTTCTGTGTTCTAGTTATCTACATGGTCTATATATTATAAGCTTAGTTTTGAAGAGAACTAGAGAAGCTGTTTAGGAGTAATCCTGTCTGTCTCTGAAGAGTTCCCTATTCCAAGCATGATTGACAAAATTACCTTCATAAGCAACTGTAAAATACAAAATCTCTAATGGCCACCACCCTTGTGCAAAAGACCAGACCAACATGAAAACAGCAATGTGACTCACCACTGGAATAAATAGGATAGCATTATATTTGTTTTGGGAGCTATGAATTCCTGGAATGCACCAAATAGCACCAGAAATGTATTGTGGGATTTGGCACCAAGATTTGAATCTATATGAAATCTCTTGGAGAAATAAATTGTTGCTTCAGGATAAAATTTCACCAATATGATGATATCCAGTTATACAGCTTCACCACAGGGTCAATGGGAGATGGTGTAAATTTCCCATGATGGTCCCTGAAGGCTTTCAAGGAAAAGCACACTCAAACTTATCATTACAGAATGATTGTTAAATCATAAGCCTTCTGATTCCAGGATTGTATTATCCTTGACTTTACTGGGCTGTACTCCCTGTAATGCAAATTTGCAACCTGGGATCTTTTTGAACAATCAGTTCCTATACACAGCATGACTAGGAGGGCCTTTGTCTGATAAACCAGTTGCAACTTTATCTGGAATTTAATACTCTGAAGAGGATCACTTACACCTTTGTCATCTGATTAACATGGGGCTGTCCTTGAACACTACCCAGAAGTTTCAGGTGGTCCAAAATGCAGCAACACAATTTGGTCTAGTCGTTAAAGCACCAGGCTAGAAAGCAGAAACCATGAGTTCAAATCCCACCTTAGCCATGAAAGCCAGTTAGGACACTGTGTCAATCACTCTCTCACAGTCCTACTCACTGCACAGAGTTGCTGTGGAGAAAATAGGAGATGGTGTGTTGGACATGTTTGCGGCAAAGGCAGGATACAAATAAATAAACCTATGTTCTCAGTGGTCTTGGTACTGTTGCACTGGTTGGAGTCCATTTCTCAGTGAGCTGTTCATCAGCTTTAAAGCTCTGAATATTTAAGACACTTGTCTTTCCCAAATGTACTCTGTCTTATCTAGAAGATGACCACAGAATCTACAAAAGATCCTATCAGTCATGGCAGAAGGGTGGCCTAATATTAGGTATTCTCATTTTATGGAATAGTTTGTCCACTGAGCTGAATATGAGCGTCCTTGTGGCAATCTTGGAAGCTAATAAGAGCGAGTGTGTGTGTCTGTCGCTCTATCTATATATCTATCTAAACCCTATCTAGAGTCACTATATACATACATATACATACTGTTCTGTCCCAGGCTTCCTGAAACAATAAAAAACACACACTTAGTCCCAAAAACCCTCTTTTTATTTCAAAGGCTGAGAATTATGTTCATTCACAGCCCGTAATGAGTCACAAATAGTTGTAAAGAGTCCAACAATAAAAGTCTTTGGGATAAGGCTGATAAGCACCCACCTTTATCTTCCTTGAAACACTGCCAAAGACCTAATTGGCAATTAGCTTGCAAGGCCACACAGAGCAGAGTCAAAATGGAGCTTCAGAATTTAAACCAACAAGAATGAACAAAGTTGCTTCCTGCAAAGACACACCTGCCTTTGCTCCTCCTTTATGTTCTATGGGAGGGGCCAACCACCTCCAAGCCTTACTCCTGAGTTGTCTCTTTTGTCTTAACTGTTCTTGCCTTCTGGCAGCTCTGTGCATGCACGCTCTGGGAACAGACTCCCCCTGTTCCTCTGCCTCACTGATGTCCTACTCTGGAGGCTCCAGAAGCAGCACATAATTCCCAGATGGCCCTGGCTCCCTCTCTGTCTCCGATGCAGGGCCCTCGTTCGAGTCTTCCCCAGACTCCAGAACTGGCCCATTCTCCTCCCCAACCTCCTCACTGTCCCACTCTGCTGCCAGCTCCGCAGGCCGCCGGCGGACCACAACACATACATATACATGTATGTATGTATACAGATCTATGCATTTTTCTTATTAATGTTTTAAAATGAAATTGCACAAATAAACTAGCAAGTCCCTAATCAGTCATACTGTTTTATGAAATCTATAACTGAGGGACCATACACAAATTCTCACCCTATCCTGGGGTTATGAAAAAAAGGAAAGAAGAATAAAGATCTGTTCTCTCTAGGCATCCTGGTAAAAATTACCTATCTATTTTTAGGAAACATAGCTATAATCTGTTCTCCCAACATTCCAGAATCCACTTCACAATAGAAAAAGAAGATAGAGTTCACCTTTTCTCCTAGCCAGGTCTCAATTTTATCCACCACAATCAAATAATAATGTTATTTTTGCTCTAAAATGACCTGCATCTACAGAGAAGAAAGATTAAATTATCCAGTTAAATTGTTCTCTATCTTACAATCAATTCTGTTCCTCACAACTAGAATCATTGCTCCTACTTTATGGAACAACTCTGCTATTCCTCCCTCAACCATCATATAATCAGTCTGCTTGAAACCATGAACCCAGACATTAAATAGCTCCCCCAAAGAACCCAGGTAGTAAGTTTGGGGGTGGATAGAAGCAGGCTATCTACTGGCAGATGCATCCATGGCATGATTCCATCTTTAAAAGTTAAAGATTTTAGTATTACATGTCTCACGTGGGCTCCAAATTCTAGCTGATGAAAATAGTTTTAGAGCGAAAACTTAACAGGACAGGCAGGACAAAGGCAAAAATATTTACAGCAATTACATACATTATTATTTTATTAAATAATATAATTAAATACAACTATCTTTAGGTCAAAAAGGAAAGAGAATACAAACGAGTGATTTCTACAGCTGGGTTCACACATGCTAAGTCGTGATTTATTTGTAATTTATTTAATGTTCATCTATAAAATGATTTATTTGGTTTTGTCTTTCAGTCTTGTGTAAAAAAGGTTCTATTTTTGTTTATAGTTCAAGGAATTTTACTTGTTCGCTTTAGAGCAGGTACCTTTATTTAACACATTTTTAAGATATAGGCTATAAGCTAATAACAATAGAAAGTCAGCAACTTGTTGACATATATAACTTTAAGGAAAATAATGACAGAAAATCTGTCTGTTTTGATGTTGACCAATATGATCATGCAAAGATTAAGATTACTTCTTTTTGCTGGCTTACTTGGGACACATGTTCAAATAAGCCTTGGCATAATCAGTGTTAAGATGTGCCCATTCCAACTTCCATTTATTTCCAGAAAGGGCATTTAAATGTCTTTGTAGAGAAGTTCATACTTGGGAATATTCTTCGGATCAATTGGGCTTCGTACAATGAGTTTTCCACGCATTGCTCCACGATAGATCACTTCAATCAAATCTATGAAGTCTTGTTTTGTTTTGAAACTTCCCACAAATTTGGTATGATCTGGCGATCTGTTTAGGAAAATAAATAATACAAAGCCAATTTTAAACAACAATGTTAAAGCTGAAATTCAAAAATACAAGTAGTTCAAAATTTGAATCTATCAAGCTCTCACGTTTACAAATATATGTTAGCGTTGCATATAACTGTGCAAGATCAAATTAAAAGTTCATCCACTCTAGTGATTTCTCAAGTATTGTCATAAATGGATAATGAAACTTATAGCTTCAGGACCTATGACCATGAGTTTCAATTTAGACATTATGGCTAGACATCAATGACAGAGCAATTCCTATTTCTGATATAAAGCTAATTTATAAGGTGTGCTTCACAATGTAAAATTAGCCACAACTGTGTTTTATGATAGAACTATTTACATACAGATTCATTATGCCCAGTAATATGTTTTATTATTTGTAATAGGACTTCATTTTCAAAAAAATCTAACTTTGGAAACTAAAATCCATAGTCTTCAGTATTAATTTCTTAACACTTTTATGGATTGATAGCATTTATCCGTGACCCGACAATTGCGCGATAGACATGCGTGACGACAAAACCGTGATGTCAAAACCGAGACGTCAAAATCGCGCCCACAAAAGCGCGATGACAAATGCGTAACGACAAAAGCGCGATGACAAGCACAATTAGGATTAGGATAGGGTTAGGGTTATCACGTACGTATATGTGTCCCACTATGTAGTTTGTTGATGACGCGATTTTATCAGCGCGCATTTGTCAGTGCGCTTTTGACATCACGGTTTTGTCAGCGCGCATTTGTCTATCGCACATTTGTCGGTGAACCCAATTTATCAATATAATAAACAATCTGTCAGTGTTTGAATTAATGCATTGCCCCATGCCATAATTTGCTGAATACAACTGCATGGAGAAATTTAGACACCCTTAGTTGAACTGTATCTTTCTAACTAAACAGAAGCTGTCACAATTACTATATGATACAGGTTAAAAATATTAAATATTTGGCAACTCTTAATAAACTTCACTTAGCTATTTCACCAACTTTCCATCCCCATAAGCCTTGTGTGGTATAAGTCATGCCAACCCATCTCTGTAACATTGAACTAACTTCTTACATATTCTGCATACAAATCCTACTTATCCTAATTAGGGAAAAAGTGTCACAGAAAATACTTCCTGGCTTCCTGCATTCTTGCCTTGGCATATTCTGTGACCTAATTAAATCACAGGAATTCAAACCAAAATCAACCTATATAATGGCTTTGCATAATAAGCAGACTAAGTCACAGAATAATAAAATTAATACCAACAAACATGATCACACTTAGACTACATGCAAATCAACTTACCCATAATCCACTTTTATGTGTTGCCCATTGAAAAAGAAGACAGTTGATGGAATATAACTAATATCAAAATACTGGGTGTACACTGGAACCTTATTCACGTTCACTAAATAAATTGCAGCCATTTTACTCAAATCATGAGATGTTTTTGCAAGCTGTCAAGAGACCAAAGTTATGTGTTACACTGGATGCACGAAGAAAGGAGTCAAGGCTTTCAATAACAGCAGTGAAAAACAGAATAATTTAAACCTCAATTTACTGAGATCCTTTGTGATTGAAAAGACATAAAAGTTGGATTATAATTAGATGTACTTTTTGAAACACACTAGCAATAATTGTAGCTTCGATAGCAAGGATAACAAGAACACTACTAAACAATCCATCCATTTAAATGATTAATAGAAGCCTTGCTGCAGATTCTGCTAGCATCAGATGTGTGTCTGATAAATATAGATGGCAGTTTCGTTCACTATGAAATATGCCAGCTCAGGAAATCTATCTGACCTCCTATAGCACCAAATGAAAATATTTTAGGATCGGGTGTTCTCCGAGCTTAGTTGTTTTCTTGCAAACGTTTCATTACCCATAGTAGGTAACATCATCAGTGCTTATCTAGTCAAGTTTAGGTAAATTAAAAATTCTGCAAGAAAACAATTGAGCTACAAATATTCTCCTTTATTTTAGGATCAGCAGATGTTTGGCGATTCACGCCGCTTAAATTCGGGGACTGCAAATAAATAAAAAGCAAATGCCGGCTTACAATGTTATCCAGTTGCAGGCACACATGATCTTCATCTCTACCAAAGCGAAGAACCAGGACTTTCTCCGCCACGGTCTTAATCGCCTCATCCACCTCCTTTTTGCTGTTTAACTGAGGCAGCAAGAAACTCATACCGGCTGACGAGACAGGAGGGTTAGCACTGCTTCCGCGACAGCAAACACGCGTAAACTTGTTTTTGCTGGGGGGGGGGGGGGGGGGGGGGGGGAGGTCGTGTGGGGAGGGAGGAAACTGTTAACGAGGCCCAGTGAATGACAAGGACCTTCTCCAATCAATGCCAACTACCGCTACAGAACTTGTTTTCGCTGACGGAACTATCCGTCCGAGTCTTAGTTCTAGAGTGTCGGACGGGATATATTTAGGGACGGACCCATTCCGGAGCGGGTTGGCATGCTTAGATGTGCGTTTTGGTAAGTATACCAGATATTAGAAAGTGAGATTGTTTATTAAAACAACGTGAAACCTCAGTCCATTTCATTACCTAAGAAATTGGACTCTCAACTATAATAGATTTGGTTTTGCAAAATTAAAATTGCTGCTCCCCCTTTAAAATTCTTCAGTATATGTTACTCATTTTAAATATGGGAAGGACGTGATGCCTGTTTTAAATGTTGCCGCGTTTATCAATGAAATAGAAAAAAAAAAGAATGAAGAAGCGCATTGTATTATTTCTGACCCTAATTAGGCATACTTACACTGAAACTTGAGTTTGTCTCTCTGAATTCTATTGAATTCAATGTGATTTCTTCTTATGCCACAGCTAGTCAGCCTTAACTGAACTTGGAAAACCACAGCAGTGAAACTTTAGTATTTAGATTAGAAACCACCTGAAATATCTGCACTAAGATAATAGTGAAAACAGAGAAGAAAATGTAGCAAACAGATATTATTGCCAAGAGAATTGTGTCCTAGTAGTGTAGTCACCAATAGTTCTGGTGAGACCAAATGAGTCTATAATAAATATCTCACTGAAAATAATGCAGTTTACTGTAACAGACCTGCCGGGAGGTGGCCATTTCTCAGTAATAAATAATAGGTGTGGATTTCATGTGTGTATAGAAGGATATATTTCAATTCTAAAATTAAAACCATATTTTTGTACACATGGCTAAAAAAATATTAAATCTCTTTGTGCTTGCTTCATAGTAAGGAGAAAAGTAATAAGAAGCTCATTGTCTTCCATTATGTTTTGTCAATGGTTTCATTAGCTTCCATGTTTTGGAAAGGAAACTTTCTGGCATAAGCCTTTTTTATGTATGTGACCTCATTTTTTAAAATAATACTTTTATTAAACATTACAATTAAAATTACAAACTAAAAAAAGAAAATAAATAAAAAGTGCAGAAAGAAGGAAAAAATAGAAAATATCACCTACTTTTCAGTCAGGATTTCAGACAGAAACAACATTTTTGCCCTTTTGAATGATCTCTGACAAGGATAATATGACAATTGTGCATCCATTCTTGCTCTGCTTGACTTCTCTTTTGATACCATTGACCAAGGTATCCTGGATTAATTCAGAGAATTGGGGGAGGGCTACATGATGTTGTGCTAATTTGGCCTCTTTCTCAGTCAAATACATTTTTATTAGGTTATAAAGTATAACATACAAAATACAAAAGCAAATAAGAGGATGGGGGAAGGGGAAAGGGACAGAGGAAAGAAAAGTGAGGAAGGGTACAGAAAGAAAAAAGAAACCGAAACGTTGACTTACAACTCTATCTTTGCAGTAGAATAAGGCATTAACAAATCACAACTTTTTGTTTTACCATAATATTATGAACCAGTCAGTAAATCAATAAATCTGTGAAACTCAAAATCAAAGTTTCATTCTTTTCCACATCAAGCATGGACTTTAGAAGCGGTTTCCATGTGGAAACAAAAGTATTTATGTTCTAATTTGGCTTCTGTCTCCAGGATTGATTCCAGTTGGTGGTGATTGGGGAAGAGATTCCACTATAGCCTCCTATAGCTCATCTATTGCCATAGGATGATATATCTTCCTTATGCTGATGATACCCAATTATATATATATATCTGCCCATAGCAAAATAAATGCCTAGAACATGGGTATCAAACGCAATGCGTCTCATTGCTGTCACATGACGTTTTGCAACATTTTCCCCATTAACAGCTGTGGTAGGCGTGGCCTCCGCATGACGCATCTGGCCCACGAGCCACCAGTTTAACACCCCTGGCCTAGAAGAGTCTAAACAAATGTTTATGCTTTAAGCGAAATCAAGCAGGAACAAATTTTAAGTTTCTAAAAACTGTTTTTCTTCTCTAGAACTTCAGAGTTGTGTTACTATACAAATATATCAAGTGACCAAATATTTAAAAAATAAAAGGTAATATAATTTTACAAAATATATTTTACCATACCTGTATCTCTGTGTTTTATAGTATATAAATACCTCCATTTGTTCTTCATTCACTTTACTTTTTCATTACTTTTTCATTTCTCCTGACATTCCCAGCTCTCACTGCCATACAGCAAAATTGCCTGAAGCATACATTTACATAGTTTATGTCAATATTCATTTCTTTTAACAAATCCTTTATATTAAAAAACTCATGCAGCACCCCAAAAGCAAACTCCATATGCATCTTAAGACATTATTCACATCAAAATCAGTTTTCATAATTTTGCAGCAATCATTCTTATATTTCCTTTTTTATTGACAGCTTCTTTTACTTTAATTATTATACTAAGCATCTTTTTAATACTACATTTTAATGTAACTCCATATGCTTGTGATTTACTCTTTAACATAGTTTTTTGTTTTTGTTTCTGGAAGCTTCCGTGTAATTTTCCATACATGCACTTTTTATTCATTCTATTGTGAGATGACTCTTTTTTCACGTAATAGTCCTACTAATAATCTACCTTTCATTCATTTCTTCCTTTGTCTTCCACATTCTTTAAATGAATAAAAAAAACAGGAATTCTAGTATTCCATGACTCCTGAGCCCCCTGGCTACATTTCCTGGAGTATTTTCTGAACCAAGCACATTGGTAAGTTTTATTGCCATTTTGAAAGGAGAAATACAAAAAATGGCCCTGAGCTTTAAAATACTCTCAATATACATGTACTTTTTAAAAAGTAGGCTTGACAGTTTTGTCTACTTTGCATCAATGTCTTGGTCAGTTGGAACCTAAGCTTCTCCAAAATATGATTGAAATCACAAAAAGGCTAAAATTCCTTCTCTCTGATCTAAATACTTTTATTTTCAGCCCTTAGATGTCACTGGCACTGCATTATTTTGCAACCTATTCAGAAACATAAGATTTGGATAGAATAAAAATGCAATAAATAAAATCAGCTTGTATTACTGATGTTTATAATAATTATAATGAGCAATTTCAGGTTTGTTTTTCTCAAATATATTCTCTTTTCTATATACATGTGACTGCAGGTATCTACTGGACATCACAATTCTCAATTCTGATCTTTTTCAACATGCATTTATTGAATTTGATTAGAAGATCTGCCTTCAATTTGATTGCACCGAAAATGACAAAATATGGGTTATTTTTAACAGTGCCCAGCAAAATCAGTACATGTGGAACATTGAGGATGATTTATTTGAACAAAAATATTTCAAAAGATGCTAATGAGAACATAGATCTAGATGAATGGAAATCGGTTGTGCTTTCTGGCTTGGAAAAAGAAGCATTTGAAAAAAGATCACCTGAGGAAGAGCCTAATATAGCAGCTATTAAGGAATACATTGACATGTCTAGACGTTTAGGTAAACATGTTCCAGAAAATATTACTGAAGAACAGTTAAAGAGGTTGATTGAATATCCTTCTGTTAGTTCAAGAAATAGGTATTTGGCCTTTTTGTTTTCAAAAGAAATGAAAAAGAATGCTGATAAAGAAAAAAAGAAAAAACAACAGGAAGAAAGGGAGGAACTTAGAAAAACAATGGAAAATGAAGAGCTAATACCAAAAAGTAGATTGTTTCGAGCCATTTGGGACTCCTCAATGGATGTTACGTACAATTGGAAAGCTGCTCAGGCTATGAGTTTTGGCCAGCCTCTGATATTTGACATGGATTACAATGATATGTCAGAGAGAGAATTGCAGAATACAGTGAAACAGATGATGGAATGTGAAGGCGCAAATCGTAAAGCTGTAGAACCATTCCATTTATATTACTGTAATTTTAAAGAAGATGGGCCATACCACAAAGAATTCCTCAAGCGTTACGGAGATGCATGGGACAATTTGTTTGTGACAGTAACAGAAAAGTCCTATGTTGAATTATTTCCAAAGGACCAGATTGTCTACTTAACTGCTGATTCTCCCACTGTAATGGAAACATTTGACCATAATAAAATCTATATAATTGGATCCCTAGTTGATAAGACAATAAGAAAGGGAGTCTCTCTTGCTCGTGCAAAGCGCTTGAAGTTGGCAACAGCACAGCTTCCTCTAGAAAGATACTTTAATTGGAAAACTGGAGGCAAAGTTCTTACTCTGGATCAAATGATAATGATCTTAATAACTCTGAAAAATACTGGAAATTGGAAAGAAGCTCTAGAGTTTGTTCCAAAAAGAAAGCACGAAGGTTTTTTAGATCCATCTTTGCAACAGTTTATTCATAAACAAAAGAATAGAAAAATCTCTGAGCAAAACTTTAAAAAAAAGCTATTGGTAGAGGAGCTCTCCAAGAAACGTTTGTGGAATGGATTGTGGGAAGAATAGTATGTAAATCACCCATGACTAGTATAAATTTCATGTAAAATAACATTGTTCCTCAGAAACCTTTGAACTTTTACAGACTAAATAACGTAGTTTTAATACAAGAGGATTCTGTAAATATATAGGAAGCATCACTTCTGACTGCTGAGAAAACCTCTGTAATACACAATGGGGCTGAAAAACATGTTTTATCATCTTAAAGAGAATAACAGTAATTGTTAATGTGTGTCTGTCACTAACTCCAATGTAGTATGGAGTACACTTTTTCTCTGCTTCCCATTGCATTGCATCATACAACAAAGTTATGTAAATGTAGTTTCCCAATTTTGATAGAGAGGAATATGTGGTTACTGTGAATTTTGCTAAACAAGGAACTCAAATTACTGTAAATGTTCTGATTTTATGCAGGAATGAATACTATGTAAAGAATGTAATTATTAAAAAAGTGAATTGTGTGGTTGATCTTTTTATTTTAGAAGAAAAAAATACTCAATTGTTTCAATTGTTATGGTATTAATTTAAAAGTTAGAGTTGTTAAATATAAAGGACTACTAACTAAAACATGTTTTAAATGTTTTTGATCTAATTATTTTATAATTGTATTTACCTTGTCTTTTGATCAAATGATCTAAAAGTAAAAGGTGATTTGCTACAGTTTTAAACACATCAAGCATACAGTGCAAAAGTATTAATACTGTTTAAAATAGAGCAACATTGTGGATATTCCATCCCAGCTTCCCATCTCCAAAAGTTAAGCTTCTTTTGATGTTTCTGTAATCACCAGAGATAAAAAGGGAGAGAAGCAAAACATTCTACAAGTGGATCAATCTCTGCACAAAACCACCAGCTTGGGATGATCTATATTTGGTCCAACATATGTTCATATTTACAGGTCACCACAGTGCCTCACTGCAGCTAAGGGAAAGGAAGATGTGAAGAATATCAGAAGAAAAAGCCGGAGGCTGGTAGAACATGCCATGTTTCATGTGTAGTGGCCATGGTAGTGCATATTAGGAGAAAAGTGCCAATAGTGTGGAAAATTTTATCCAGTGCAAATACATTGACAAGCAGGAATATGTTTGTTTTAGCTTTTTAATGGCTGTTGCTAAGAACATATGCCAATGCTATAAACATGGTAATTAACTTTTATTCATATGTAATATAAACAAATTTATGATGTGTATTATTTGGCTAAATTGTTCACATTACATGGAATACAGAATCTTAAAAAGTTAGAAATGCAAGTTGTACACATACTGATGTTACCTATGCATTACCTATTTATTTTTTGTGCCTATGTGACTATTTAATGTTAATTGTTATTTGTTTGTTTGTTTTATTTATATGCCGCCCTTTCCCCCCGAAGGGGACTCAGGGCAGCTCACAACTCAAACCAGGGAAGGGGTGATACAGACAAAATTAAAAATGACACAAAACAATGCATAATTTAAAAAACACACGACAGTCATACCATTCGAGACGGGGGCAACGGTTCTTTAGCCCCAGGCCTGTCGGAACAGCCAGGTTTTAAGGGCTTTGCGGAAGGCCTGGAGGGTGGTGAGGGTTCGAATCTCCATGGGGAGTTCATTCCAGAGGGTCGGAGCAGCCACAGAGAAGGCTCTCCTCCGGGTAGTCACCAGTCGACACTGGCCGGTGGATGGAATTCGGAGGAGGCCTAATCTGTGGGATCTAATTGGTCTAGTGGAGGTAATTGGTAATTGTGTTGACATTTGAATATCTAGTATTCTGATTTGCTCAGAATTGTATTCCTTTACTGGGCTTATTGTAGCAATATGTACCTGGCCTGGGCTAATCACACAAAAAAAGCAGGTCATGAGTAATAGTTGAGTAGGAATTTATTGAGAAATACAGGGACTAAGGTGAAAAATTCTAGAAGAATTCAGTGACAAATTCATTTCATGAACATGTCCATTGCTTAGCTAAGAGAAGATACCTGAAGTAGAATGAGCCCCATACATTTTAAAGTAAGTGACCTATAATATTTGAATTGCCTCTGCTTTTATCCCACCCAGAGCCCCTCTATGAGGAGATAGGCAGTTGTTTGATTAATAATAATGATAATTTTTTCCATCTCCTTTAACCAAGCTACATTCTTGTATTTCTTTTGATTATCTGATTGAAATTGGAGATTTTGCCTATTTGCAATTTGAACTTAGTATTTGCTGATCTTGGCTACAGCTGTTGTTTGCTTTATTATTTCCAGTGTTTCTAAGTGGTATTTCTTGATTAGGTATTCTTTGGTCTTGTTCTTCAGCTTATTTTCTTTCATCTGTTCTAGCTTGCTTGCATCTGATCTCAGCTTGCTGATCTTATTTTCTAGTGTGATCTTTCATTTTGGTGGCTTTGGGATTTTTTTTTCTTCTTTGTTGATCTTGCATCCCAGGTTTATATTTATAACTGGAGCTATGGTGTACGTTAGTTGGTTTGTTTCTTGCAGTAAGCTGGTGCTTATGTTTGATATTGCAGTAGTGGCATCTTTTAATTCTTGTACCAGCTGTTTCTTTGGAACAAACCTCAATGCAGGGAACCTTATTCTGATGTTTTTGTGCTATTCCAGATGCTAAACGTTTTTTTTTTTAATCATCTACTTTAGTTAGAGGGCTTTGTTTTTTCTGACGCAGAGGGTACCTGGTTTCCAAATGAATAGAGTTCTATATCTCTTCTGGATTTCTCTAATGCTAACTCTCCCTTGTTTATCTCAACGGTCTAAATTATTTCCAACACAGCTTTGATTTCTCTGCCCTGCCTAGACTTTTTTCAGTTCTTCCAATTCTGCTTCTGTGAATTATTATTTCGTATTGTATAAATACGAATCATTGATCTGCTACCCTCTGTTTTCTTATTTCTGATTCTGGATGTTGCTCTTTCTAAAATTGGTGCATCCATTTCAAATATCTTCTTGTTGCACTTGATCTGTACTAACAGATCATTATTTCTTTGTTTTCAATCGTGGGCTATTTGTGATGGGTATTTCCTTCCCTTTCCCTCATTTCCTTTCAATAGTTCTACAGCTGCAGGACTGAGTCCTGTACCCTATTTTTCCTCAGATGCCCAGGAATTCCAACATCTAGCATGGTCCTTGTTAACCTGCACAACAACTGAGCCGGTACAAATTTTTGTAATTTACGTTTCACCACACTTTGTTTGACTCCCCTGATAAGACCCATCCAGTATGGTTGAACCTCTGGTATAGCTCTTATCTTCCTCAGAGGACATAAGTCCCACAACCACGTCAAGGTAGTGCCCCACTTGGGGTGTCTATAGTGACATATCAGTTTACAATAACAATGTACAGTGAGATATACAGGGACATATCACTGCCTATTCCAGGCTCTTGGAAAGGACTCGACAGGTGCACAGATCCAGTCTGAACAGTTGGCTAATTGTGCATTGAACCAAAATAATAATAATGTGAGAATTCTGCCATCAGAGTCTAAATTGTAGGTACTGTAGACTTCAAGCAATCCCATTTACTAGAAATGGGTACTATATTCTTTGGCATCTTTAAAGCAGTCTAACTATGTGGTCATCCCTGTATTCATTTTTTTGTACTAATTTTTGATTTTACCCTATAAAATAAAAAAATGTATTAATGAAAATACCAAAAATCTCAAGATGAAACAAAAGATCTATATACAGATAGTCCTCAACTTACGCCCACAATTGACCCCAAAATTTCTGTTCTTAAATGAGATATTTGTTAAGTGAATTTTGCCTCATTTTACGACATCTCTTGCCACAGTTGTTAACTTAGTAACATGATTATTAAGTGAATCTGGTTTCCCCATGGACTTTGCTTGTCAGAAAGTCGCAAAAGGTGGTCACATGACCCCAAGTCACTGCAACTGTCATAAATATGAATCAGTTGCCAAGCGTCTGAATTTTGATCACATAACCATGGGGATGCTGTAATGGTCATAAGTGTGAAAAACGGTAATGTCACTTTTTTGTAACTTTGAACAGTCACTGAATGAACTATTGACTACCTGTATACAATGCTCAAGTGAAATGAAAGCTTGGCCACACAGAATCATAACTTTCTATGACATCAATTGAAACTATGCCTGTGCCCCACTTTGATTTTTGACCAGATATATTGTTTGCTGAAGTAAAATGGTTTTAGCTGCTGACTTTGTGCTACAAATCCAGTAATTAATACTTCAAAAGCTTGCAAATTGATATTTTACACTCAACCCGTGATTGATTGGATCATCTTCACCTTACCAGATTCAACAATGACAGAACATTTTTAATGTCTTGCTTTCAACAGAACAGCATGTTCAGAGATGCCTTTGCTTTAAAACAGCCCATTTTGAAGTGTACAGCATAGTCAAGCATCAGGAAATCTGATCACAGGAAATATTTTATGACTTTTAATGTCAAAATGTATTATTGGTTTTTAAATATTTTTATTGTACATTTTTTCTGCATTTTTCATCAGTTTCATCTTTGCATCATTTTTACAATATACAATATACATATTATACCTCCTTGTTCTGACGTCTTATTCATACATAAATATTCATACAGTATCATATTTATATCTATTATTTCCATAGTTCTATCATAGTTGTCCATATGTTTATTGTACTGTATATTTTAATTTATACTTTTATACAGTCTGGGCATAGTATTATTTAAGTAAGTATTCTATCTAGCCTTGTACCTATATTTATTTCTGGTTTGTTAATCGTCTTTCCTCCTTACTTTTCTAATCTTTGCATCTATTATTTAATTGATTATACCATATATCCCATATTAAATTATACTCTGTTTCTCCTTTGTCTTTAATGTCAAAATGTTTTATAATGGGTACGTCATAAAATGTTTTATAACATTTGCCAAGTTTCAATTCCATGGAAGTCATGGGCCCTGAATTTTTAAAAGGATATTTAAACAGTCTGATCAGCAATATCAGGTTTGTAGTACTACAGTTCTTTTCCGAGTTTTTTCGACGATAATTGCAAATAATACATTTCTTGAACCTAACCGGTTTGTCTGTCTGTGCTTGAGATAGCAGCTATACGGTGACGTCGTATCCAATCAAAAGGACCGCCGAGCAAATCAAATGTTTGCCGCAGCTCTTTAACGGCCGCCTTGACAACTGGAAACTGCGGGTTTCCCAAAGGAAAGTAACAGGAGCGGGGAAAGCCCTAAGAATAACCAGCTCAGCTTTAGGGAAAGAAGCTCCTTCTAGGCGCCCCACCCACCTTGACTTTCCCGGATGGATCGCGGGAGGACTCATCTACTGCGCATACTCACGGCGCAGTAGCGGAGGGGCAGGGAGGGAGGGAGGAGGAGAAAAAAAAATGGCGGACGAGAAAGGAGGTGATGTGAAGCTGAAGCGGCCGCGGCTTGACGGAGGTAAACATACTGCGCTCAAATTCCTCTTCCGCAACCATTTCCTTCTCCCCCTCAGCCTAGGTTTTAATTTAAGACGTGAAAATTCTCGTAGGTCGAGGGATAGTTGTCTCCCCCCCCCCCTTTCTCCAGAGTCCGTGCGCAGCCTGGCTCTCGTATAATGCCCGTTCCTCGGCTTTTCATTTGAGCTCGGACTTTTCCACGAAAGAGCTCGTGACCTAATCTCCAGGCAGTTGATGTGGATCTAGTCCACGTCAGAGCCCCGCAGGGTTTAGACCCCTGTAGAACAGGCTAGCTGGCACCTGGGTAGACTAAGTAGCGACTTGCATGTATTGCGCGATTGGAAGACTATCTGGCCGTCACCCTCATACACCAGCGTTGCAGATGAAGGTTGGCGCGGCTAATTGCTCTTTTCAGCAACTTCAGAATGCAGTTGTTGGTGCAAGTTATTCGCTCTAGCAATAAACTGAATGTGATCAGCATTCTTTTATAGTTATTATGAGATAAAAGGTCCGTAAAATGGCCCCACAGGAATTCAGTGGATGCTTATCTGGGCATAACATAACATATATAAATACTCTCATAACATATATAAATACTCTCATAACATATATAAATACTAACTAGACCATATATAAATCTGATGCATAATGATTTATTTCCTTCAGGAACAACCTTTTTTGAATTTAGTGATTCAAGATGTGTTGAACTACGACATCTATAAAGCTGATCTGTAAAGATACGTGTTTGTTGGTCTTATGTTATATGTAATTAACATTTATATGTTATACTACATATAAATAACATGCTAGAGAAAGAATATACTGGAGCATATCATTATGTAGTGTTATAATGTTTCATTTTCACTGATCTATCTCAATCCTGTAATTTTATGGTAGAACTAAGGGATGCATAGATGAATCAATTTGATTCATGCGAATAACAATAAGTGCAAATAGTTTGGTTTCTAGAGCAAGCTTCTATAACAACTTAGTACTTGCTCACAGTCAACTCCTCAAATGTTTATTCAAGTTGCACTGTTCCAGACTTTTGCATCAACTTGGAAATACAAGAATAATGGAACTGAAAAGATAATCTACATTTTCCAGAGAAAAAGCAGAAGGTAGACTAGTCTTAGAGGTTGGAAAAGCAGCATAGCAACACCCAACACCCTGTCATATTTAAAATGAGGATTACTAGTTTGAACTTCCACTATTCTGTTGACAAAATGATGCTGGGAAAACTAAAGGATACTGGGGGTGAGTATTGGTAGAGGAATAAGAGTTGTGAACTTATTCCTGTACCAATACTCAGCCCATTCCATGATGTACTTCAAAACCCAGTATCCTTCAGTTTAGCTCCTAGTATTTGACAACGTACAAATCCTCATTATGTCCTTTCTATTCACACAGAACATGGCATTGCCAGGCAGTCTACCTGTCCCTTCAAAAGCAGTAGTCAGAAAGCACAGTTATAGACAGTCCCAACCCAGCTAATGGAGAACTGAAGTTGCTCCTGGTCAGGTGATGAGAAAGGAGAGCAGTTACTTTAATTCTAGAAGTCTATCAGATTAATGCTTCTCTTTGCACCCTCTGCAGACTTGTGAATCTCATATTTATGTGATAAATGAAGAATAAAATACCTAACAGATCTAAAAATAAGGGATATAGGAGAAAGATAGACAACAATCATAGTGACATCAAAAAGGGAAAAAGAGGCTGAAGGATCTATGAGAGGTACATAGCCTCAATCCTAGGAGCTTCAGCTATAGAGCCTTAAGAGTCAGGAGGAATCCCTGATTTCTATGGCGGAGGGGGATCATAAGATAGGTTGAAATATAATCCTTATGGAATTTAGAAGAAGGTACATTTTCAAATCATAACTTCATTCAGTTTCTAGCTTTCCCTCCAAGACTACTTAATATTGACCTACTTATAACACTAAATGTTCAGCAAAAATGCTTAATTCCAATGCTTAATTGGAATTGGGCCCCAGCAGTCTTATACTTAGTACTCCTAAGAATTTGTGACCTTCTGCAGATCCAGCATAAATATCAATGCTGTTTGGATTGGCTAGCAATGCATAACATGATGAACTGATAGGCATAATTCCAAATTAGTAGTCCCAAGAGAACAGAGAGGTGTTCATAAACTCAGATGAGTAAAGGACAGAGTATTGAAGTGAGCCTACAGAACAGCAGTATTGTGCTTTAGTCATATGGGCATATCATATCCTAGAAGTTTCAACAGAAGCCACATCCCTAAGGCTGTGATGGTGAACCTATGGCACGCGTGCCACAGGTGGCACTCACAGCCATATTTGCTGGTATATGAGCTGTCAGCTCAGCTGATTTTCAGGCTTCCAGAGGACCGGCGAGGGCTGTTTTTGCCTTCCCCATGCTTCAGAAAAGCTTCCAGAGCCTGGGGGATGGCAAAAACTCCCCCCCCCCAATATAGGGGTGTCGTGCGTAGATGTGCAGGTGGGCAGGACACATTGAATTGTGGGTGTGGGTGCAGTCGCTGGCACACACACACACAATGTTGGCATGCCTTTAGAAAAAGGTTCACCATCACTGCCCTAAGGGCAACAAATTACCTATATTCAGTGAGTATTCAGACTCCCTTAACTTTTGTCAATTTTGTTATGCTGCAGCCTGATTCTACAGTTGTTGGAATTCATTTTTTCTCATTAGTCTACACTCAATGAAGTGAAAACTGAATTTTAGAAATGTCTGTAAATTTAGTAAAAAAAGAAAGAAAGAAAGAAAGAAAGAAAAAGAATATCACATTGGCATAAGTATTCAAACCCTTTGCACTTAAATTTAGCTCAGGTACTCCAATTTCTTTTGATAATTGCTGACATGTTGCTACACCTTGATTGGAGTCAACCTGTGGTAAATTAAATTGATTGGACATGATTTGGAAAGGCACACACCTCTCTATAGAAGGCCTGACAATGCATACTGTAGCATAGCAAAAGCCATGAGGTCAAAGGAACTGCCTACAGAGCTCAGAGATGGGATTATTACAAAGCATAGATCTGGGGAAGGCTACAATAAAATTTCTGCTGTACTGAAGGTTCCTAAGAGCACAACAGCCTCTATAATTCTCAAATGGAAGACGTTTGGCACAACCAAGACTCTTCCAAGAACTAGTCGCCTGGTCAGACTGAACAATCAGGGGAGAAGGATCTTAGTAAGAGAGGTAATCAAGAACCTGATGGTCACTCTGACTGAGTCCCAGAGATCCTGTTTGGAAATGGGACATAGTTCCAGAAGGATAACCATCAATGCAGCCCTCCACAGATCTGGGCTTTATGGCAGAGTGGCTAAATGGAAGCTTCTCTTCAGTGCAAACATATGAAAGTTTGGAGTTTGCAAAAAAGCACTTGAAGGACTCTCAGACTGTGAGGAACAAGATTCTCTGGTCTGAAATGTAACTCTTTTGCCTCTATTGTAAACATTATGACTGGAGGAAACCAGGCACCGCTCATCACCTGCATAATACCATCCCAACAGTGAAGCATGGTAGTGTCAGAATCATGCTGTGGGGGTGTTTTCAGAAGCAGGGACTGGGAAACTGGTCAGGGTTGAGGGAAAGCCAAATGGAGCAAAGTACATGATACCCTCAATGAAAACCTATTCCATAGTGCTCAGGATCTCAGACTGGGCCAAAGGTTCACTTTCCAACATGACAATGATCCTAAGCACACAGCTAAGACAACACAAAAGTGACTTAGGGACAATTCTGTGAATGTCCTAGAGTGGCTCAGCCAGAACCCTATTTGAATCCTATTGAACATCTCTGGAGGGACCTGAAAATAACTGTCAACCGATGGTCACCATCCAACCTGACTGAGCTTGAGAGGATTTGCAAGCAATCCAGGAGTGTAATGCTTGTTGTGTCATACACAAACAGACTTGAGGCTAAAATTGCCAAATGTGCTTTAATAAAGTACTGAGTGAAGGATCTGAATACTTACGCCAATGCGATATTTCAATGTTTTAAAAAATAAATTTACACACATTTCTAAAATTCTTTTTTTAACTTCATCATTATGGGATACTGAGTATAGATTAATGAGGAAAAAAATGAATTTCAACAACTGTAGAAACCGGATGCAGCAGAACAAAATTGACAAAAGGAAAGGGGGTCTGAATACTTTCTGATGCACTGTATATTTCAAGGAATACAAACTGGAAAAAAATTCAAAACTTAGCAGCAGCCGTTATCCAGATGAACAAAAATGATTAGGTTTTTTTTGGAGTGCATGCAAATCTTGGGTAAATTCTTGGTTGGTAAAAGGAAATTTATAGGACTTAATTCATCATGCCTTCACAGATACATTCATATTGTTTTCTTGCCACCAGTATCAACATAATTTTTACTATTTTATTTCAGAATGTTATTTCAGCTTCATAGTGTAGTCTATAACTCTAGAAAGCCCTTGTGCCCTTCCATGCCAATAGTATCCATTCCAGCTTTGCTTAGTTTTTGGAGAATCACTTAAACTCCAGTCAACAACAACTACAGTGTTTAAAACCCAGCTAAATAAAATCCAACATTACTAAATTTCACCTAGCCAACAGCAAACTTTGTTTTTTGCTGCAATAAGCCAACCATAAGCTTTGTAACAATTTCTAGTTCTAAGAATTATATTGGCATAAATATTTGTGGTTTAAATGTTAGAATTTTCAGTTTTATTTTTTATCTTTCTGTAATTCAAGAACAGCATAAATTTATATTTTAAAAATTATATATTTTAATTATTTCCATGAGTTTATTCTGTCTTGATTTGAAATAACTCACAATTTTTGTAGGGATGTCATGCAGATACATGATTTTTAAAATATATTTACGTATATAATTTAATTATTTTTATTCTGCATTAGCCAAGTGATAGGAGCTCCCTTCACTATATGTCTATGTCCTTACAGTGTGCTCTGTATAAACAGTTGTGGAGGTGCTGACACTGTAAGTGCAAAAGTCGCCTCTGAATAACAGTGCTTTATGAGGTTGCTGCTCCCATCAGTCCACTCAGTAAAAATAGCTCATCTTGGTAAGTTGTTTCGACTTCACCAGGACCTGAAGAAGAGGCAGAAAAACCTGTGAAAACTAAGACTGTTTCTTCCAGTAATGGAGGGGAAAGCTCGAGTCGTAGTGTGGAAAAACGTGCAGCTGATGAAGATGCTGAAGACTTCTCAACAAAGCCTGCTCCTGCCAAAATGTCCAAGTTTGGGTTTGCCATTGGCTCTCAGCTTGCAAAGAAACCACCTGCAATATCCATCAAACTTGGAGCAAATGTAAGTGGTTAAAAAATGTTTTGAATTGGTAATGTTTAGTATTTGAATGAATAAGTATTTGTTTTGACATTAAAAATAGTCTTAAAATGTTGATTTTATCTTATTTGAGCCTTGTGAATTACAGATGGTTTTTATTGCCTTGTTTTATGAACAATTATAAGATTTACGGAAAATGGAATTTGCTGGGAATGTGAAGATATTGATAATTTCTATTCTAATGTTTGCTGTAGTATGGTGGTGAGTGCATAACTTAGCAATATTATATACTGACAAAAATAAATACTAATTTTTAATCCTTTAGCCTTAATTAAAGATATATGAATTCATTTAAAGGAATATAATTAGTAGTTTAGAAAGCCAGTGTGGTATATTGGTTAAGGCACCGACTAGAAACCAGGAGGCCATGAGTTCTACTGCTGTTAAGCATGAAGTCAGCTAGATGACCTTTTGCCAGTCACATACTCATAGCTGGAAGAAGGCAATAGCAAAAAAAAAAAAAGCCAAGAAAACTGCAATGAGTTGTCTAGGCATTTGCCAGAAGTCAGTGCTGACTGGAAGAAAAAAACAATCAAATGAGTCTTATTCAAGAGGCTGGCCTATTATCTTTACTATTGTTTTTTATTATTACAAAAACCTTGTAGAAATACTTTTCACTTTAGTGGCAGTTACCTTTTCTAGGAAAGCTTGCAAAAAGTAATTTGAGTTATTGTGTGGATTAGTAGTATAATAAACACATAAGTATACATTTGCATACATACATTGCCAATAAAAATATTTACAAAAGTTTGAAACCATTTAAGCTTTATAAAGTTTTTTTTTTTAATTGAAAATTGCAAACGTTACTTGGCCAAGTCACCAAATTAACAGTAAAGTAAGCACAGGAGGAATCTGTCTCAGGAGAGCATTTTACAATAAAGGTTCCATAGTCACGCTCTCTCCAGTAGGCACATGCTGGTGAAGTATAGTCGGGGAAAAACAACATGCTGCAGCATTGATGCTGCAGCAAATCAATAAGGAACAATAATTACAAATATATTTGTTTCGTAAAGTATATAGAGCTTATTTGTTCTTATTTATTTTCTTCCAGTAAATGAATTTAGTGCAGTGGAGACAATTCGTGGCCTATTGAATCATCTTTTGAGAGACATTTCCTTATCCGATTCCTCAATCTTTTCAACAATGACAGAACTTATAATGTACTGCCTTTACTGGAGTAGTTGGCATACATTTAGATATATATGTATATGTATGTCTTTGAAAATAGCCCAAGTTAAACTGTATAGCACACTCAAATATCAGCACAGAAAACGTTTTATGACATTTTGCATTATGTCACAAAACCCATGATATTTATAGCATAAAATATTTCATAAGATTTGCCAAATTTCAATTCTGTGGGAGTCATGGGTCCTGGATATTGGACACATTTTGTAAGTTAGTCCATTTGAGGTAAATCTTGGTTCAAAAAGTATTGCCTATGATGCACCCTTTCACCCTGTTAAAAGTTACAAGAATAAGAGTTTTAGTTGTACTGTATATAAATTGAATTGTCTTGATTTAGAAACAATTTCCCATGTAATATAGGGTAGAGAAAGGTACAGTTCTAGTAAAATGTCAGTTTGTGTTTAGTAATTTGGTTTACTTAAGGTTTATAGCATGCTTTTAATTACTAATTTCTATTGTATTGATTTCTTGCATCAATAATTTTTTCCTTTGCCTCTTTCAGAAACCTAAAGAACCTACTCCAACTTTAGCTCCAAAAACACTCTCTGTAGCAGCAGTATTCAATGAAGATGAAGATGTAAGTAATTGAGAAATGTGCAGGAACGTGAATGTAGTACAGATCTATAGCGTTAAATACTCGCCCTGCTGGTGGTTTTGTAGACTTTGAATACCTAGGCTTTGGTGAGGGTAATTGAAGAGCCCTCCTGGGTAGTGGAGGTCTGCTTTTTGTTCTTGCCCATGTTTTGCCATCTTATGTTCCTTGTTTTTACTATTGTATTATATTATTCTGAGGTTTTTTTTTATTTGTGTACTGCTCAGAGTAGTTAAAAGTTGAGTCATGTACACATTTAATTATAAGAATATAGTAAATAAACACAATCACATAGTTGCTAATCCTGACGAAAATATGTTTAGTTTAAAGACTTTTAGAGAAGTGCAGCTTTAGCAGTGCAAAGCATCTTTTTGCCTTTGAATCTGAATTGCCACATAGCTCTATATGTTATGTAAAATAGGGATAGTATGCTGCTTTAGCTGCAACAGCTGTATTGTGTCTTTCTAATGTTAATAAAAGATTTTAAACTACAAACTTTAGATTGGATGAGATTTTTAACAATAAATTATTAAGTTGAATGTAATAAAATGTATGATTGATTTATATGCTGGGGGCTGACATTCAAGATCAGCACAAAATAACAAAAAGGCTCTTCAAAAACAATCTCATCTATACTATAAACAAAATAATTGTGTTCATGTTGTATTTTTACTTAGAGTGAACCTGAAGAGATGCCTCCAGAAGCTAAAATGCGTATGAAAAACATTGGAAGGTAACATGTCTTTCATATTAAGATTGTTGGAAAATGGTAGAACAATATTCATTATATTAGTATATTGGCTATGTGTTGAAGCTAAAACTTAAGTAGCTCTTCTAGAGTTATTTCCAAGTGAATCAGGGATTATAATTTGGAGTTTATACATACCATGTTTCTGGTTTATCCTTTTTAGCTTTCAGCAGTTGAAAATATTTTTATTGTATTTATCTTCTGCCATAAGAAAATGTGTCCAAATACAATAGTTTAGGATTTCAGGATTATAAACATACTGCTGCCAGATGCATATAGATACGGCATTTTCACTTTGTAATAGAAGCTCTTTAAATATTTGTAAGTGAAGTACTAAATTAGTAAAGGTGAACCAATTGATTTTGTTTGTTTACAGGGATACTCCAACTTCAGCAGGACCAAATTCTTTCAACAAAGGAAAGCATGGGTTTTCTGACAACCAGAAGTTATGGGAACGTAATATGAAATCTCATCTTGGAAATGTTCGTGAACAGGATGATGACTAGTTGTCTATTTTAATCTGGGTGTTGGGAAATGGGAGAGTACAATATTAAAGGAATAGTGCCCTTTTTTAGAATGGTATACAGCTATTTTGGATGCCACTTTTAAAAGTTTGTCGTGGTACAACAACAAAAATGAGTTTAAAAGTAGAGGTAACTTATGTTTTGTATACAAATTTCAAAGCAATTGCTAATTTTGTAGCTTCATGCATTTAATTTCACGTTATGGAAAATAAAGGCATTGGAAGTGGTACATTTTTAAAGAAATTTTCTTTTTACAATTATTCTTATATGAAGATAGAAAAATCATTCTGTCTTTAATTAGTTTTAAGTTAAATGCTGCTGTATTAAAAAATCCAGATCCTGTTCTATGATAGGTTTTTGTTGTTTATTTCTTTAGGCTACTTTTATAGAGGTTCAGTACATCAAGTCTTGCTAGACTGTTTTAATCCACATAATTCTGTAAAATAAACTATTACAAAATAACTTTACTACATTTCAATCTAAGATTTTTGACTGTGGTAGACTATTAGTATAATCCTGTTCTCGAACATTGTGTAATCCTTCTGTAGCCTGTTTCCCCCTTAAGAAATGGGTCTTGCATGTATATACATATTAGGAAAGTATTACAACCATTCATAACAAAGGTAAATCAGTATTTTTTAACATTTCAACTCTTGAGCCTTGACCAGTGCTTGTCATTGTTTGTCAGTTTGAAGTAGATTGATTAATAGGCTATCAAAGAAAAAGGAATTTTCAGAAGGAGACTATGCTTTGTCGTGTTTTAAATGCCAGGGTCTTTTTTTAAATAATCCTATAGGAGTAAGAATTACACATTTAAATTAGCAATTGCTTACTAAAATGCAGAAATTTGCAATTTGCTTCCATATGTTGATGGTATATCGTGCTAGAACTTTGGTAGCAAAAGTGAACTCTACTTTGAAGACAGGGAATCATGGTTTGGGTTTGTTTGTTTTTGAGGTTTATTTTGCATTCATATTTAAGCAGATGCAAACACACACACACCCTTTAGCTTTTCTTGTTCAGACTTCATTTCTTCAAGAAAATATCCTTTCCTCATTTTTTTAGAACGTTCTAATTTCTTAAATAAAAAAGAGAACACCATATTTCTGGTTGGTGTAGCTTTCAAGATTTGCGTAGCATAGCTTGACCCAAGGCTTATCTGCTATGTCCCTTTGCAGAATATGTATATAAGTCAGAATCTAGAGCCAGAAGGTCCAGTTGGATTGGAGTTCTTTGCTCATTACAAAGCTTCAATAGGGTCACTGTTTCATTGAAACCATGGTCTGGAAAATGACACCATTTATGCTTGAATATTTCCAACTTCCTGTTTGTTTGTATCTTTGTTTAGTCTTAGGAAATTAAAAACATCCTTCTAAGATGTCACCAGCTGAATGCAAAGATGTAGCTATTAAATAAACATAGAAAATTACAAGCATTGTTTTGGAAAACCACCAGTAATGGCAAAATATAATGGATGCAGCTTTCAAAGTGACAGAAGGAACTATGAATAAAGGAAGTTTCTTTCTACAAAAAAGTATTTTCCACATTCTTTGATTAGGAAAGACATTCCTAGACTTGTCTCCAATTGTGCTGCATTTCTCTTATCCCTCTTCAATTTTTAAAGTAGCTAATTACCAACATTGTTAACCAGCTGGGTCATAAAGGGAACCAATCCAAAAACTGGGTAGATGTTTTCTCCACCTATTTTCTAACTTATTTAAAGACAACATCAGCAAGAAAATGGAAGTGATTAAATAGGTGTACTTATGTCAGCCTTCTGAGGCAGACCAGACAGGAGGTATAGCCAGATGATCTAATTCTACTTTATTGTAAGATAGCATAAACAGAATCATGCAAGTTTGAAAGTATATTTCTCCCTCCCCCATTCCATTTACAGCCCAAGACAACGTGGACTGAGTCACTTGCCTCCTGAGTGACCTCCTGAGTCACTTGCCCAGCCCACATTCCTGCTAACATATAACACATGAGCTGCCTTCCCTCATCCCCAAGGTTTTACATTTATTGATTTATGGAAGAGTTAATGTAAATTTTAAAATGTTACACAAACAGAAACAGATCAGTTTTACATTCAATTAACCCTAAGGGTAAGTAGGTCTGACAGCATTCTGATACAGATAGTCCTCAACTTACAAAAGTTCATTTAATTACCGCTCAAATTTACAACACTGCTGAAAAAAGGGACATGACCATTTTTCACACAACATTGCAGTATCCCTGTAGTCACATGATCAAAATTCAGATGCTCGGCAACATATTTATGACTGTTGCTGTGTCCCAAAGTCACGTGATCCCCTTTTGGAATCTGACAAGCAAAATCAATTGAGAAATCAGATTCACTTAACAACCATGTTACAAAATTAACAACCGCAGTGGCTCACTTAACAGTTGTGGCAAGAAAGGTCATAAAATGGGGTAAAACTCATTTAACAAATGTTTCAGTTAGCAACATAAATTTTGGATACAATTGTGGCCATAAGTTGAGGACTACCTGTACCCCATTTGTAGTTGTAGATAGTAGTTACGCAACCTGCAACATTTTCATTTGGTCATATGAAGGGTTGCCTGGAAGGTTAATCAATGTTTTCCACAATCAAGATGGTTCTAGAGAGGCATCTCAAAATAGGGTTTTTCTCCTCCCTCTTTTCTGTAGTAATATAGTGCCTGATCGCAATGGCATGACTCTTTTCATTTTATTTTTGCTCCAGTGGAAAAAGAATAAAAGTTTTCTTTATAGAATCTGGGAGGAATAACAACATGACTGAGACATCCCCCATTGTGTGTTGTTTGTGCATGGAACAATGAATGAAGATATGGTCAAATGGATTTTCCTGGATCAACAAAGTTTTCTTGTATTTCTTGATATGCTTATTCTGTATTCTATAGCTCCCATTTAAAATGTAATTGATAAACAAGGACATGGTTTGTTTTAGTTCCCATTAGGTCTCTGTTCCCATGAAAATATGGAGATCATTTTTTCAGGATATGCTGATTGAACTTAGAGCTAAATTTAGAGAGCTCAGTAGTGGTGACCATATCAGAAGTCATTTCTTAAATTTGATTGTTATGGATATGGTGAGCTCTAATTAGGCAACAGGTTTTCCCCTCGGCCAACCTTAAGCCATAGACTTCCTAATGGGGGTAAAGCTTCAACACTTCTCCTTTGCAGCTGATCACTGACAATTAAGAAAGCTACAGTGTTGAGCTTATGAGATTCCTTTGTACTACTACTATTATGTAGAAAACCATCTTTCCTTTTATCCTCACTAACAAAACTCTAGCTCCACTAGGATCCTGTACTTACATTTAATTATAAATCCCTCCATTTGAATCTCAGTTCATCCTCAAAAAATTAGCTATAGACTTACAGAGTTACATTCAAAGAGCCCAGAAATCTCTCCGTTTGGTTGTCTTTCAAATCCATCCAATCAATTTATCTGCAAAAAAAAGCAAACATAGCATACTTTACAAATTTATAGAGATGGTCTCTTGTGAACCTTTATCAATCAGCCTTCAATGATTCAATATGTAAAGGTCATTATAGTACCATTTTAGAGTTTATATTTTGAAAAATACATGTTAAAGAGTATTTTCAAACATGCCAAACCACAAAGAAAGCAGTTATGGTAACACTATTATGTGCTGTTATCCTAAATCTGAGGATTTCACATTTTGATATTTAATCCTAATCGTTAATCATCAATCACCTATCCTCTTTAGTGGTTTCCATTGCTGCTAACATGGCATATCAGTAACAGAATTAGTCAGATTCACCCAAATCTGAATCAAAGTTCTTGCCTTGAAGGATTCCCTCAGTACTGAGGGCTGCCACCAGCTGATCTTAGAAATCACACTATCAAGACCAAGTAGACCCCAAATAGTCATGCACAACTTTATTGTAACTTTCTTTTCTATCCAGAAATCTTCAGTAGTATTGAACGTTAGAATCGGCAATGCCATAATCATGACTTGCATAAACAATGAAGAGAATATAACCCTGCCTTTTTTTCTGAAATGGAGTCTTGACACATGTAGTAATGTTGTTATAGCATCAGTACCAATATTCAAATTGCAGACTCCTCAATTGTTGGAGATGATTTCCCTACACTTCTTGTATAAATAAAAGGTTAAGATTTCCAGCTAAATAAAAGGCATGAATAAAGTGGCATGTCGAATCCAGTGTAGTTCAGCATAGATCTGTAACCCATATTGATAAGTATAAAATCTTACACCTGATTCACCATACATAGTGGGTTGGGAATAAAGAAATTCTTATGTTTGTTTCTTGGAGCTATAGGCTCCTTCTATTGCCATATATGTCAATTTTAACTAAAAACTATGGTTTTTGTAAGCCTCAATAATTTGATCTTTTCCACAATGTTCCAAAAATAAAGTGGCTTCTTCTCTCATATCATACAGACTGTCTAAGCATATTTCTCTTTAATAACAAACCTCAGTGCGGAACAAAACTCTGTGAGCAGCTTCCAAATTTTCATAAAGCAAATAAATTAAGGAAAACATTCTGATAAAGGAGACTAGCATTGGTGATGTTACCTAGTTTGGCCCAACGGTGCTTTTTCAAATGGCAGCTGGACTTTGTTTCTTCTCAAAAATGTTTCTCTCTTCATCAGAAGAAGAAGCTTGGATGAGAAGCAAAAACAGCTTCAAGAAAAATCAACGTCCAGCTGCCTTTTGAAAAAGATCCTCTGGGACAATCATGACCTGGATGTCTGACAATCTCCATAGACCGTTACCTAGTTTGGGTAATAAAATGCTTTCAAGAAAACAACCAAGTTCAGAGAGCACCAAGGACCCCTCAGATAAGATTCCTTTTTAATATTCTTGAAGGGCAGAAAGAAGCATGTGTTTTTGTTTTGGAAATATTTTCTATTTTTGTCATTTGTTATTGTGATCCTCAGCATTATGTGCTTTACATTATCAGTACAAATATCCAGTTTCTTCATACTTTGGTTAATTTAGTTGAAGAATTTTGATACTATTCAAAATCGTATCTTTTGGAAGCTGTAACAATGTCTTCAAGATTTGGGGAAAAAAACCATTTTATTTTCATGTTCCCTTTAGTTACTTAATATGCCTAGATAAGGAGTTTAGGACAGTTTCCTTTATCTCTCATAATTATCACAGCTAAGAAGAAGATATTTTCCTTAAAGCAGAGTTTTTGATATGTTCAGTTAAATTATCAATCTGGTGCTTGACTGTAGAATTAGAAGGTTTTTTCTGATTTCTTTATTTTCTCCTCAATTGTCAACCACAATAATGCAAGACTTCACAAGTTTTCCCAATAACAAGTTTTTCTTCTGTTTTTAGTTAGAAGAGTCATTACAGAAAGGTTTCATAATTTTGCAGATACTAAAATTAATATCCAGAATTACCTATTTTAGTGTGCTTTACAGAGAGAGAGAGAGAGAGAGTTTATAATATAAAGTGA